ATTCCCCCCACACAACACATCGCTCCAGTTCACAGACCTGTGCCTTGGTGTGTGAGGACCTTCCCGCTGCTGTGCGCGCACGCGGCGCATGATCCCTATTGGTGGCTCCTGCTACCCGGACCGCAGAGACCGCGTGGAGCACAGTGCATGCCCCGCGCACAAGTAAGGGCTTAATAAATACCTGTCGAGCGGATGAATGAGGACATTTTACGTCCAGAAGGAGCCGGACGCCCACAGGGGCCAGCTGCCAAGCGCCCTCCCCAGCTCCTTCCCCGGAGCCTGGGATATTTAATTAATATGAGCGCAGCGCAGCCCACTTTATGGAGCGGGCCCAGGGGCCACCCATAATTGAGAAATGATAGGAGGCACCTGCGACTTGACCTTGGCTAATGATGAATGGACCCACACGGAGATCAGAAGCCGAAGGCCCGTGGGCGGGAGCCTCCGCCAGAGAGGCAGGGGGAAGAAAGAGAGGCAGGGAGGCCACTGCCCTACCGGGCCATTTCGGGGAGACTCTGACAGTCACGTTTCCTCAGGGGACACTGCAGAGGAGCTGGGGGCTCACCCCCCACCCCACCTGTTTCTGAAGAGCTCCAAGCGCTCCTGTTCTCAGGTGTCCTGACCTGGGGGTGCATAGCTGTTGGCTGGTGAGTGGGGGAGGAATCTGGGGTGCTGTGCAGGGGGGCAGAGGGGAGGGGGGTCCGTGGGTGGTGACAGGGGCTGGGGCTCAGCCAGGCGCAGTCGCCCCTCCTGTTTCAAGCTTGGGGAGGATTTGAGCGTGCAGTGAGCCCTCGTGGAGGGGACCTTGTGCTTTCCAAGCAACGCCACTCGTTTCCCTTCAAGGGAAAGGGGGCTGCATTTGGAGAGATGCTGCCGTCCCTCCCAGCTCCTTGGAGGGCAGGCTTCAGGCCCTGGCGGGGAGCCGGGTGTCTCCATCCACAACGGTGCCAAGCAAGTCTGGGCACAGAGGGGAACTGGAGGCCCTCCCGTGCCCTGCCGGGGGGGCCATCCTGGTGGCCAGGGGCACCAAAGACACCCGGAATTCGGATCCCAGTCCGCGGGGACCGGGCCTGAGAGGGGGTGGGGCAGAGAGCAGAACCGCAGCGTCCAGGAGGGCTTCAGAGCCAGCAGGCAGAGGACAGGAGGGACACCCATGTGGCGATCCGATGGAGCAGCTTCTGCCTGGAGAGTTGCCCGTCAACCCAGGACCCAGAGCTGAGCGGGACCAGCATGGAGACCCTGCCCCTGGTTTCCTGGTTGTTCTCTGCCTCCTGAGTGACCTCAGAGAGAGGAGGTGGGGGAGAGAAAGAGAAAGAGGGGGAGGAGAGAACATCAGCTGATCTCTGTCTTTCGAATTTTGCTAAAATACGCATTCCATAAAATCTACCATCTCAATTTTTATTTTTTTTTTGTACCGGGGAGTGAACTCAGGGCCCTCGACCACTGAGCCCCATCCACAGTCCTACTTTGTATTTTATGTAGAGACCAGTGTCTCACTGAGCTGCTTAGAGCCTAAGTTGCTGAGGCTGGCCTTGAACTGGTGATCCTCCTGCCTCAGCCTCCCCAGCCCTGGGGTGCAGGCATTTGCCACAGCACCCAGCAGCATCTGCATTTTTGAGACTGACAGATTTCACCGAGGTCTTTGATGCTCACTCATGTGTCAGAAGTTCCTTCCTTTTTAAGGCTGAGTAATATTCCATTGTATGGACCTGCCACATTCTATGCCTTCATTCATTCCTGGAAGGACCCTGGGATTGCTTCTTCCTGTAGCTATTGTGGAAAACACTGCTTCGAATGTGAGGGTACAAATCTCTCTTCAAAACCCTGCTCTCCATCCTGTGAGGTGTATACCCCGATGTGGAATTTCTGGATCATGTTTTGAGGAATGACCATAGGGGAGTCCCTATTTTACGTTTTCACCAGTAGTGCACAGGGTCCCAATTTCTCCACATCCTCTCTGAACACATTATTTTCTTCCCTTAAAAGAAAATAGTATCCATCCCAATGATATGAGGTAGCATCTCATTGTTGTTGTTGTAATTATTATTATTATTTAGTAACAGGGATTGAACTCAGGGGCATTTGGTCACTGAGCCCCGTCTCCAGCCCTATTTTGTATTTCATTTAGAGACAGGGTCTCACTGAGTTGCTTAGGGCCTCGCTGTGGCTGAGACTGGCCTTGAACTCTCCATCCTCCTGCCTCAGCCTCCCCATCCGCTGGGATATCAGACGTGCACCACCGTGTCCAGCTCATCATGGTTTTGGTCTGCATGTCCCTAAGGACTATTGGACGCTGCACCCTTTCCTTTGGATAGTTGGCCACTTGCAGATCTCTTCCACATGGTGCAGAGAACAGAACCCAGGGTTCTGGAGTCCCATCCCTACCCCATAGCCCAGTCATGGCTCCAACTCTGATTTCCCCAGTGTGTGACTGTAGCCAGGGAGCTTCACTCCTCTGGGCTCCCGTTCCCGCAATGATGGAGTCGAGGACATTATTCATATCTGGGGACAGGACTGATGGGACAACTTGAGGAGGTCTGGAACCCTCCTCTGTAGCTCACAGGCAGACCTCAATAAGTGCTGCTCCCCTGCCCCTGCCCCCGCTCTGTCATGCAGGGTCCTCTGTTGAATTTTGGGTGCTGGTGTCACTGAGTGGGTTATGCTATCCCTGCTTGACCCCAGTGACCAGCCAGAGTCACACACAGGCATCTGGACATGCACCCTGTCCCTCTTGCCTATGCGTCTCTCTTCCAAGTGCACCTGCTTTCTTCCCACCCCAAGGCCCTCTCCAGAAGATGAGCGAGCAGATGAGGCACCTTGCCAGTCTCCAGAACTGTGAGTCAAGACCAATCTCTTTTCTTCATAACTTACCCAGTCTTGAGTATTTTGTCATAGTAACAGAAAATGCACCAAGGAGCCCTTATCGCCTAGCACTGGAAGTCAAGTAAATACCAGTGAGTTGTTCAGAAACCCGTTGTCCATTCCTTCCAGACATGGGGTTGGGCTGCGTTCCCAGCCTCTCCTGCTGTGGGCTGCAGCCATTCTTCTGCCCACTGGCCACAGGGGGGTGAGAGCCAAAGTGCTGTGTGCCACTGGTGGCCTGTGGGACCCTCCACTCTGTCCCCTCTCCTGCCGACGTCCACCGTGACCTTGTTGAAGGAGACAGGGCCTCCGCTAGCTGGCTCCTGGAATATCTCCTGTGCCCAGCCCCTTCCTATTTCCACCCCAAATAAGAAACGAACTCTCTGGGGCTGGGGATGGGGCTCAGTGGCAGAGCACTTGCCTCTCAAATATGAGGCCCTGGGTTCGATCCTCAGCATCACATAAAAATAAATAAACAAAATAAAGATATTGTGTCCATTTTGTATCTAAAAACTATTTAAAAAAAAGAAAGAAATGAACTCTCGTTGAGTGAAGCCACTAAGATTGCAGAATCTGCTACAGCAGCTGGTGCTCTACCAAATACACCGGGACCCCAAGGTCAGCGTCAGGAACCTTCCCCCTGAGCCATCACAGAGTAGATCCACATGATTTGGGTAGGTAGGTCAGCGAAGGGTGTAGTATGCAGTGGGTGCTCAGTAAGTGCTTTCCAGATGGAAACCAGGTAAGAGCCCAGTCTCAGGTCCTGGGTCACGCGTTTGTTCTGGATGGACTTGACAGTGTTGCAGAGCAGAGCCCCCAGCCTCCCAGAGCAGGGAGCCTGGGTGGGTGGCTCAGGGATATTCCAGAGCTGGTCCTCGGGATGCTAGCCACACCCAAATCTGGGTGACTGTGTGAGGGCAGCCTAACAAAGTCTCCCAGACAGGGTGCCTTGAACAAGAGAAAGGTGTTCCCCCAGGCTGGGGTGGAACTCAATGGGAAAGCATTTTCCCACCTCGGGGACACCCTGGGTTCCATCCCTAGGACTGAAAACAAAAGAAAAGTAAAAGAAATGTTATGGTGTCATAGTTCTGGAAGTTAGAAATCTGATATCAAGATGTCCTAACCAGCTTTCCATGACTGTGACAAAATACCAGAGAAAATCAACTTAAAAGGAAGAAAGGTTTATTTTGTCTTGTGGTTCCAAACTTGACCCTTTTGCCCTTGGTCCCGGGAGAGCTGGATATCCTGGTGGGAGCATTAGCAGAGAAGACGGCTCCCCTTCCCTCATGGCAGCCAGCAAGAAACAGAGGAAGGGCCTGGTCCCCACATCCCCTGGAGGGCACGCCCCCAACGGCCTCACCCCCCACTTCCACGGGCCCCACCTCTTAAAGCTCCAGCCAGCTCTCAACCGTGCCACAGGCTGGCCACCAAGAGGTCAATATATGGCCTTCGGGGACGTTTAAGGACCAAACCTAACACACGGTGTCAGCAGGGTTGGCTTCCTCTGAGGCGGGAGACCCATCTGCTCCACACCTTCCGCTAGTCTCCTGGGGTTCGCCCGCCATCGGTGCCACCCCTGGCTTGGAGGGGCCTCGCTCCCGTTCTGCCTTCATGTCCTCAGCGCCCTGGTGAGAGGGTTGGTGGGAGGGGGCTCCCCGCCCGCCTGGGTCCTGCCCCTCCCTCGGTACCTGTTTGACGGGGGCCTCCTGTCCCCACCGTGTGAAGGGGCTGCGGACTCCCCTGCAGGAGGCGGTGAGCAGGGGAGGGTCCCGTGGCGGGAGGAGGAGTTCATCCCGGCCTCCGTCCATGTTGATTTCATTGTCATTGTGATCACTCCACCTGCCTTACTTCTTCACCCCTCTCTGGGCCTCCGTGTCCCCATTTGTACAAAAAGGTGACTTGAAATAGATGACCTGAAGCTCCCTGGGTCATGTTCTAGATCTGGGGGGTGGGGGGGTGGGGGCCATCTTGAACTTTGGCGATTGCACCATTCACAAGGGACCTGGGGGACAACATTTATAAGGGGTCCCTCCTACTTATTGGCTCTATGTATCAAAAGCTATTTTTTTTAAAACATCCATTTCCCTTGAAAAGTTGGAAATGACCCAAATGAGAATAGGAGATATTGGTCAAATCTGCGGAGAAGCAGCAGATGTGCAGTTAATTGAGCACATACTACACGCCCAGCCCAGGATGCGCTTGGCATCACAGTTAACCCTCAAGTCACCCGTACGCTGTCATGGGTTCCTCTATTGGGCCATCAGGCAGAGAGCCTACTGAGGCAAAGCAGGCCACCCAGGTCGGTAGCTGGCAGATGGCAGGGCCCGGAGTCTACCTGGACGTCTGCTCCTTACCACGCTGTCACCTCCTTAGGCTGATGCCAGGAGGGACAAGGCTCTTTGGTGCTGGGCAGCAGGAGGCTCTGTGAGGCGTGGGTCTTCAGGGGCTGAGACACACCTGCCCTAAGGCTGCTGTGAAGCCACCAGCCATGGCTTGGTCACCCTTTATCATGGAGGGTTTGTGAATTTGCCCAGACCACCGTGCTACGGTTTTATCTTGTGGGAGAAATTCTCCCTTTGTTTACAACAGCACCTCCTGCTAAGTGCAATATTCTGGTGACCCAGGACCTGTTTATGCTCCTAGTCTCCACTTAATCCATTTGTCTGAACATCCGTGGGTGTTTGTCCTGCCAATGGACACATGGCTAGAAAAGGGCAGAGAGAGATCTTCACTTAGCTACCCAGCACCATCAGTCCATCAGTCCCCCACTCATCCATGCACCCACTTATCCTTCCATCCATCCACCCATCCATCCATCCATCTATCCATCTATCCATCCATCTATCCATCCATCCCATCCATCCAATCTATCCATCCATCTATCTATCCATCCCATCCATCCCCCATCCATCTATCCATCACCCCATCCATCCATCCACCCCTCCATTCATCCATCCATCCACCCACCTACCCACCCATCTATCCATCTATCCATTCACCCACTCATCCAACCATACATCCATCTATCCACTCCATCCATCCACCCTCCCATCCACCCATCCCCCCTCCCATCCACTCATCCACACAACTATCCATCCCATCCAACCACCCATCTATCTATTTGTCCTTCCACCTATCCTTCCATCTATCCTTCTGTCTATCCTCTGTCTATCCTTCTGTCTATCCTCTGTCTATCCTCTGTCTATCCTTCTGTCTATCCTCTGTCTATCCTTCTGTCTATCCTCCCGACTCTCTAAGCAGTTGATCGGTTCAGTCATCACATACTTACTGAAACCCTCTAAGTCCTGGGCATTATCTTGCCCTCAGGTTCACAGAGTGAGGAAGTCAGATGCAGCCTCCACCTGGAGGAGCT